CGCCGGGCCCGCCGCGCCAGCCCCGGGCGCGCTCACGTGGTCCCCGCTCGGGCCGCGGTGCCGCCGCCAAAATGGCACCGCCGCGCTTCCCCAGCCGGGTCACGGCGCCTCCGCGCATGCGCCGCGCCCCTGCGGCCGCCCCGCCCCGGCAGGTGTGTTGGGGGGAGCCCCCCCTGCCCGGTTCGGCCCGGGGAGGCACCGCCCGGCGCCGGGGGCGGGCGGGGAACGGCGAGGGGGACTGCCAGGGCCCGCCGGGGCTCGCCCGGCAGAGCTCATGGCCCCCGGCGCCCCGGGCACAGGCGGGGCGGGGCGGTGCCGTCCCGTCCCACCCCCGCCCGGCGGGCGGAGCCGGGCCCGGCCGACAAGATGGCGGCGGCGCTGAGGGCGGGCAGGGTATGGGGGCTGGTGACGGCGGCGCCCGGCCTCGGTGAGCAGGGGCGGCATAGCGGGGGCCGTGCGGGGCTCGGCGGAGGGCTCTGTGCCCCGGCGCGGGCCCGGCGCCTCGGGGGCTCCGCCCCCTGCGTGGGAAGCGGTGGCGGCCCTGGGAGCTGGAGTGCGCCCCGCTCCGCGGCCGGGATTAAAGCAATCCCGGTGGTGGCAGCTTCGCTATCCTTGGTCGTTTTGATCAAAGCTGATTTCTGTGTTAAGTCAATTGATTAGGAAATTGCTGCCTCCTTCGTTCCCGGGGGAGGGCCCGCCGCTCCCCGCCGCGGTGGTGGTGCCGGCGCTCCTCCGGGAGGCGGTGCCCGGAGCGCCCTCGGTGAGGGGGGGAGGGAGGTGAGGAAGGGATGGCGGTAAGGGCTTTCGGCAGGGAAGAGGCAGCTCTATGGAGCAGAAGAGGCGGGGAAGGTGGGGTTTGTGGCCGGGGAAAGGGCAAAAGGCACTGCTTTGAGTGGTTGGCAGCGGCCCGTCCCCTCTCCCGCGGGTGTGTCCCCCACAAACGTTATGGGGGACCACTTCATAATGGCATTTTGCTGTTTGTTCTTTTTTCCTGATTGCAGGAGTGTCAGTAATGACTTGGTCTGTGTTAACGCGTTTGTCATCCTCTGCCTTTTTTAGCTTTTACTCGTTCCGCGTTTGTTGCGAGAAAACGTAATTATGCCCAACCAAACTGGCTGGGAGTCGGCTTGGCGTTTGGCACCTCTGCTGCCTTGTGGGCTTTTGTAAGTGTTTTCGTTCGGTTTTGCTGAACTTAACTATTGCCAAAAAATGTACAGTAGTGATATAAACGCAATGACTGCAACCTGCTGAGTCGTTTGGGGTAATGGGTGGTCATAGCGGGTGTCAAGACTGAAACATAATTATGTTGATTCCTTATGTTTTCCCAGCTTCACGTTGTGCTTTTCTTTATAAAAATAAACAACTTATTAAGCTTTTCTCTATTTCAAACTTAAAACAGCCACGACAGAAGAATTAATTCTTCAAGCCTGCCGGCTTAATGCTTTGACATTATTTTCCCCACAGATCTTAAAAAAAACCCCCAACAGCAATAACCTCCAAACCAACCAAACAACAAACAAACAAAACCACAAACAAACAAAAAACCACTACGGTTGTGCCCAAATAGTCTTGTGTTTATCAGACCACTAATGCATTCTCTTCTCATTTTTCTGCTGATTAAGGTGGTCGTTAGCTGATTTCAGTAGATTTAGACCCCTTTTTTCCTGAGCGAAATGCAGGTGTAAAATACTCCCTATTTTAGAGAACTCAACAGGCTTGATGTTGTTAAATTGACAGAGTGTAGTAGCTCTCAGGAAGAAACGTGCAGGATGAGCTGCACTCCCATAATGAAAGTGTTGTCAGGGTGGGGCGGATTCCCTTTGGAGTTTTCACCTTTTTTGGGGGTGGTGAATTGATTGATAGTATGAGCCCCCTGCCTTCAGTTGGTCAGTTTATCCAATGAGGCGTTTTTTCCCACAGGTTTTTCAATTGATAATTTACAGATGATATATTCTGTATTGTCCCAGTTACATATTGGTTTGCATTCCAACAATAGGAATTTTATATCCTGTAGAAGTCTTGTTGTTGTCTGGATCCAGCTGTGAAATTGTATAGCTGTTTATCCTATACTGCTATTTTATAGCTTATCAACCAGCATAATGAAGATGTAATGGAATATGAGAGAAGACAAAAAGAGGGACACCACAAGTGTACAGAATGCTCATAGTAAGTGTACACGTAGAGATTACAAATGCTTTTGACTTAACAGAAATTCTGAAGATCTTTGACATCTGGTAGCAGTCAAGATATCAGACTGACATTCTTCCCTTATTATTTTCCTTAATACTTTACATCTTGGCTTTTTCTGTTCTTCTAACTCATTCCAGCTTTAAATTGATGAGGTGACTGATCTTTATTTTCATATATTCACTGTTAGCTCTCTGTCTTGGACATGTGACACATCTCTTACAGGGTCTATAGTGAATAAAGTTTGTAAATTGAACACCTTTCAAGTGGCTCAGTGGCAAGGAGATCAGAGTAGCTGAAATACATAAAAATTATGTAAAGTCAGTGCTCTTAGATGTGCATTACAGGGCAGATTGTATGTGTTGTTGTGCTTTTCAATGTAAAAAACTATCTGTCTGTCTGCCAGCGAAGTCTTTTTGGGATTATGGCCTCAGAGCAATTAATATTCCACATGAAAAAATTCCTTATACTAGATGGAGGAAAAACTTGTGGTGCTGTGGTTATTTTCTCCCGTAAACATTTCTCTCCAGATAAAAATGCAGGATGTTATGAGATGTTTCTAACCATATTCATCACATCTATTTTTCTTGTTGCTAAGATTTGTTTTCCTCTTTCTTAGGTTGATGATGTGCTCAGTAAGAAGTAACGTGATCACCGGTTGTCCTACAAATAAGTGAGCACAGCAGGAGTACAGTTATGTAATTACTTGTATGTTCATACATTTCATGTGCATAAATATGAAATAAATTATAAAGCCTAGAAAAAACTTTCAAGGACTTTTGTCGCCATTAATATTTCATTCTGCTGGTCTTGAAGTTGTTTTATGTTGTGTTTCCATTTCATAGATAATCGATCTTATTTTTAAAATCCTCTGTGTTATTCTGGAAGATATATTAGGGAAGCCTAATACAACTAGTCTGTACAAATGCCAGAATGTACATTTGCCTGTATGCATTTTGGGAATTGCTTATGCTAGAGAGGTGCCTAGAGTGCTCACACAGTGAGGCTGCACAGGCGCTGTCAGTCTCTGGTGTGAGCACTGCCTTCGTGCATCAAGGTCAGTCAAGGACAAAGGCTGCAAAAATGGGACCGCAGCAGTCGGCACAATAGGGCATTAAATAATCACAGAGGGAACAACAAAGCTCTGTGTAGATGAGAAACAGGGGGCAACTGCCTGACAACGTAGGGAGGAGAGAGGCAGCTGCACAGCTCTGCCCCCGAGACGCCCATGGCTGTGACAGTCCCCATGATCCCGCAGCAGCGCTTCCTTTCCGGTGTTCTGCTGCCAACACGGAACGCCTGTGTCCCGGTGTTTAACCTGAGTGCCCTTTGCCGTCAATTTAGGTGATTTCTCCATTTTATTTTTTTTCCCCCCTTCCAGGAACTGTTGGCAAAGGAACGTTCTTGGTGAACGCCCTATTTTAGTAGAACAGTAGTTCGTTCCTCCCCGTCCTCCCCCTCCTTGCTAAATGCAACCCCTCATATTCTGGGTCTCTTTCAGCACCGCGTACGGCGGCGTTCGGCACAGGGCTGTCTGCCCTTGTGTTCCGGGAAGGCGCTTCCCGCTGCTGCCGGAGCGGCTCCTGCCCTTTCCCGCCGTGTCCCGGTCACCCCCGGCGTCCTGCGGGAGCGGTGTCCAGGTGTTGGCGCGGGGCGGGGCCCGGCCCGTTCCGCCCCCGCGGCTCGGCGGGGCGGGGATCGCTGTCTGTCTCCGCAGCCCCGCACCGACGGGCACAGTCGAGCGCCCGCTCCGCTGCCCGCCGCCGCCACCATGTCCCTGTGCAGGGCCGCCTCGCAGGCGCTGGCGTTCCGCCTCAGCAGGGCTCCCGCCGCCGCCGGCCGCCTCAAGCAGCGCGGTACGAGCCCGGGTGGAGGTCAGCGGGACGGCGTGAGGGGGCGCGGGGCGGGGCGGGACGGGCAGGGGCGGAGGGGACGCGCGAAGGTCGCGGGCGGGCGGCGGGGACGCGGGGCCGGGGGCAGGGGCGGCGGGGGGGTGGGAACCTGGCACGGCCGGTCGGGCACCCCCGGCTCCAGGGGCCGGCTGCCTCGGAGCTCCGGGCGATCCGCTGGGCAGCCGAGCCCGCCCGGGACCCCCCTTCCCCTCTTCCCGGGACCCCAGAGAGGGTCGCTGCTGCATTCCCTTGCGCCCCCCAGCACAGGGAATAGCGGGGTACAAATCGCTCGGGAGAGCATTGCCGGCCCCGGGAGGGAGCGGGGATCCAGCCGGCGTGCCGCAGCCGCGGCTTTTGGCGCATCAGGAGTTGTGTAACCGATGGCAAAAAAACCCTGCCAGCCGTGCTGGGTGATGGCAGCTCGCTGGTGCACTCTTCTGCTATAGCCGGCAGCCTCGGAGAGGAGGGTTAACGAGAAACTGCTGCGGAATGAAAATGTAAATATACGGAAATCCATTAGGATGCCTGGCTATTGAAGAGGAGTCCGAGAAGCGTGTCATGAGACAGATGATGCTAAACATAATCTGGCACACCATGTCAACGTTTTGAGATTGTGACTATTTTTGCAGCCGCCAATTGCAGTGCTCGGAACCATTTTATCTTTCCTGAGCACTCTTTCGATGAGATGTTTCTCATCGGGGATCAAGTCAGGAAATTCACCTGAAAGCTTTGTTGACCAAGAGAGTTAGGTGTGTTTTTCATGGGTCTCTTTTTGAGGCATACGGATGAATCGAAGACTGTAGCAAGCATCAAAGCTACAGGAACAGTGGACACAAATCAAACGTGTAACACTGCTGTTAGAGGCAATATGTACCCAATCGGGGATAAAATTGTGTAATCCTACCTATCTGCCCTGCTGGCCGTTTCACAAGGTTAAGGTTATGTATCGAAATGTCAGCAGTCTGTTTGGGAATGAAAGAACGTGAATTCAAAGGAAAAGGCTTTTTTTTAAATTCTCTGTTACTAAACTGAAGAGAATTCGTTAACTCTGCTGATCATAACAAATAAGGACAGATGAATTCTATTACATACTACAGTCAAGAATTTTTTCACTTTTTTTTTTTTTTTAACATTCCTTGGTCTATATAGACTATATCCAGTACTTGGCAGCTGATGGCAGACGGTGTAGTTCAGAGAAAAAGGAACTCTTAGGAAGATCTCAGCCACGTGCCTTGTTCAGTTGGGCACCATGCCCTGTGTTGCTCAGTCACAGGAAACGTCACTAAGCTGTACCTCTCTGTTTTTGTTACATCTTTTTGACTCATCCTATCCCAAGCAGTGTTCAGACTCCATCGTTCTGTTTTGTGATCGTATTTTAGCAGCGTTTTACATCAATTTACTTAATGGTTTTTATAGCACCTCTTCGCCAGATGTCATCTGGGAGCGTTCCTGGCTCTTCTGGAGAGAATATGATTATCTATCTACTTGCTGGTGTTGCGGCTTTCAGTGGTTTATTTTATGTAAGTGTTTTGGGGTGGAGCTGTTTGTGCTTTCTGAGTTGCCATGCTGTAAGGTGTGTTCTGGGTTAAAGAACATGATCAAGGTTCAAACTGTCAATAGAACGTAGACATTGTGGCATGGAGCTAAATACAGCCTAACTGAAAAATCAGCTCTAGAGAACTAGTGAACCTGAATGCCTATTGCTTGCCTGATTTACTGTTGCTTTGGTAACTAGTGCTGGGTCATTCTTAGTGGAAAGCATATGTAAAACTGAATGTGTCCAAAGCTGGAGTGAGGCACCTGCCTCTAACCCCTTGCCTCTTCTTATCAACCACAACCATTAGGAATATCTCAAAGTGGGTGAGACAGATATGAAATAAACTGTTTGAAGCTGCAAGGGGAAGATTATGAACCTTGTTAATTTGGGCACAAAAAGAAAGATTAGTTACTTTGAAAAAGAGCGTTAAAGTTTTGTAAACATCTGCTTTTGTTAAGCTTTTCAGTAACCATTCTCTTCCCTGCTTCTAAATAAGTCAGATTCTGTACTTCACATCCCTAAGTCCTCCACTTTATCACTTACATCCACCCCTCTTCCCCAAGATCTGAGATAGTGATTAGCACATCCCCAGTACCTATTTCCCTGTCCCACAAAATAATCCTCTTGAATGGTAAGTAGCTATTTGTTCGAAATACCAAACTTGTTTGATTGCATACTGGAGGAATAACAAGTTCTCTTGCTGTCATATGTTTACCACGTTAGAAAAATAATAATAATAATAATAATAATAATAATAATAATAATAATAATAATAATGATAATCTTATTGTAATTGCCTTTTAAAACACTGTTTTCAATTTCTGAAACACAGCAGCACTTCAAGAGGTGCCTGGTATATTGTATTTGCTTTCTAACAATGGAGAAATATGAAATGCATAAATGTATTCCTATAGCAGGTTGTTAATTTTTTTTTTTAACCTTGCTTAGCATAAATTTTATATGCCTTTTAAGATAGACAGTAGCACTGGCTTAAAAACCCTTCTCTCCCTCTCCTCTCTTTGTGTTTGGTAACTTTGTAGGGATGTAGCAGTAAGTTCAGGTGTAATTTCCTTTCAGGCCTACAGAGTAGTCAGTTCGTCCCGCAGCAGGTTTATTGACCATGTGAATGTTCTTCATGAGAGAGCTGAGGGGCGGAAAGGCAACCCCTGGTCAAGGAAGGGTGAGTTGAGCTCTTCTCTCTTGTTCCCTGGGTACATGAGGATCTGGAACAGATTTCTGGGTTGTCTAATCAGGCCTTAACGCTGTCCAAGTCCTTGTCTGAACCGTGTGAGTGGGAGTCAAAACAAAGGTGGTTGTGCAGCGTTGTTCTGTTACAAAGCTACTGCTGCACGAATTTTGAGAATGGTGTTAATATTAAGACAGTGAATCTGACCTTTGATCTGCCTGTGAGAGGCTGTGTGGATGGAAAGAGTTGATGTGTGAATCATTAATCGTATAGTGGGTATTTGATCTACTGGATGAAATGAAACTTGACTGGATGCATAATGCTGTCAAAATCAGTTTTGTTCTTTCATTTGTTGGGGGGGAGGAGAAGATAATACCTTTTTCTCAATCAACAGGTTGGGTCCAGGCCACAGGCCATCCAGGAACACAGTTCAATAGGGAAAAAAAAGCCCCTACCATTTTTTTAAATATTCTAAATTGGACCAATTTTTTTCGTCCCAAAACTTTGATTTTGTCCTTTTTGATTTAGGGTTAAATGAAAAGCAGGCACTATGTAAATGTATGGCAAATCCTTACTTAGCTCTTCGTGCTTGGATAATTAGACCATGTTAGTTCAAATACTTGTAATGGAATGTTGTCTCTGTCTACATCAATTAGTGTTACAGTGACATTAATGTAGAAGATAGAACTTTGGCAAACATGACCTTGCTAGGAAAAGCAATTAGCAAAATTACTTAAGGAACTTTATATCTTTTTATTTAGTTGTTATTTAAAAAAAAAAATAAGCTACTGAAGCCAGAGCACTTGAAGCTCTTCTTTATTTTTTCTGATACTGACATCTAGGGAATTGATTTAATATATTTGCATGCACACAAAGAATAGATTTGAATAAAGTATGCTGAGTTTAAATTTTCTTTTCAATGTGAGAACATGATTTGAATTGTCTGCCTCTATAATTATTTCTTTTGAAGTTGTTAGCCTTGAAGTTCCACAAGACATCCTTTAGTTTTAGAACTTTAAAATTACAGATTTCAAGATTTAAAATGATAAAACACCTTAATTTCCTTTTACTTAAGCAGCTGGGAGCAATACAGTTTTAAAACTCCATTCTTTAAATACTGAGAATTCAGCCACAGTTTTAATGCAATCCTTCCT